ACATGTAATTTCAGGTGGAATTTTCTCTTAAGACCCTCTGGGCTTAAGGGGTTAACCAGTTCGTATTAGGGAACAACCAGCACAGCCTTATTATGGGATTACTGCTTGGTTACCTGGAAAACACACTAATCAGGAACTAAGCTATAGCTTCACGTTACCACACACCTTTTCGTTTTTTTAAATCAATTTATCAGTTTGTGCTTTTTTTGCTTTGTAGTCCTTTTTCTGTTCATCTCACACTGCAGAAACTAAAAATAAGTAGAAATTTCTTAAAACAGCATTTCAAGAAAAAATGAATTAAAGTTATATTTTGTGTTTTGCAGTGCAGCTGATAGCTAAAGAGGATCAACATGATAGTTTTAATTAGGTTACATTTCCCTACAATAATGAAAATGCTTCTATTAATAAAAAAAAAACATGATAAACACCAAAAACACGGATCTGAGTGGCATTTCTTATCTTTTTTTTGCCTGTTTTCTTGAAAGCATTTTTGTGTTTTAATAAAAACCCAGCCTCTTCACAGCCTGGTCAGACCAGATAGTCTGCCACTTAAAGACATCTTCCAGTAGGAGGATTCTCGCTGCAGTGGGTTAATCCTCTACCTGCCTCTTCATCCCTGGAAATAATGCAGAGAGCCAGCAAACATTACCCCCCCCTCAGAAAATCTCCCTCCTCCATGATTCTGCAGGTGTTACATAAAACAAAAAGACGTTGCAGATAATTTTGCCCTTTCTCAAATATCGTTTTGCAGTCTTCCATTGAGGTCATTTCAGTTTTTGGTTTTCCATTGCCTTGCATAATAAATGCACATTCATTCTCCATTTATAATGCTCAGTCTGCAGCTACAAGCCGGCATTGGATGATTTAATCGATCAATGCTGTGCAAAATCTTCTGACAGACACCTACTCTCAGAGAGGTTTGGCTCATCATAAATTTCATGTGGAAAATATTCAGTCATGCTTAATAAATCTAGACAAGTTTTTAATTAATTTTAGAAAAGGTTGAGGCTGAACAGAAAAACATCAGGCTACTTTTAGCATCCAAGCACAGAACTGAAACAGCTCAGCAGAAGATTTTAAACTGGATAAGAAACAATAATTATAGCTGGCATTCCTTTGGGCTTTATCCGTCTTATTTTTTATGTTTGTTAGTTACAATTGTCACAGAACTTTGTCTGATAGGAAACATAATATTGGTCACTTGGTGCTTCAGTGGTCTGTTTACCAAATACATTTTTTGTCATATTGAGTAATATTCAATATGGCAATGAGGGCTATTTTCATACTATATATAGAATATACTTTGACTGTTTACCTTTTGACATTGCAAAATACTTTGAGACAGGTACCGTTTCTCAGTCTGTGTACTTGTGCGTTCTCATGTGCTCGTCATCCTCAGCCCTACAGTAGTACTGTTCCAATTCACAAGAACAGCAGACCGAGAATGGACAAAGTCCCCGGATGTTGTTCTCGCCCCTCCCTCTTTACCCATCATGAACCAGAGAAGACATAGGGCCGGATCTATCAAAGGTTTGCGTGTATAAAAACGTGAGCTATTTCACTGCGCACGCTAAAAAATTTACAAACTGATCTATCAACAGCGTGCTAAAATGATCTGGTCTTTAAAACGTGCTAAATAGCGCCTCTTATCCATTTAGTACTTTTTCTGCAATGAATATGCAATATCGGGCGTTTACACGCAAAAGTGCGTCTTGTGGGAGGAGAACATGTAAATATATTAATTTAGCACTCGCAAAGTGAATTATCAAACCTGAAAGCAATTTTGCTAACGGTATCTGACTCTATATTTAACACGTTTCAAAAGAAGGTGCAAATGGTCTGTATGCGTAATTTCGCACACATGGCAGCGGTTATTGTCGCAAGAAGGAGACATCGAAATGAAGCAAGGAGACGCAGAGAACGCATTTTTTCACTCCATGTGAATATTTTTGGTATGAACGAGGAAACGATCATCAAAACATATCGTTTATCCAGCATTGCCATTTTGGAGCTGTTGGGGGAACTCCGAATGGATTTGGAGCCAGCCACAAGGAGGACCCACGCAATACCAGATATCACAAAACTCCTTGCAACATGGCACTTTTTTGCATCTGGGTCATTCCAGCGTACGGTTGCAGCGAGAGCTGGGATCTCCCAATCTCGTTTTTCAGAAGTGCTGTCCGACATTCTAAATGCCATGTCGCCCTGACGCCCTACCGGAGAAACCAGACCTCCCCCCTGCGCCTGTGGAGCAACATGCCAATGCTGCGGGGATGCGCGCAGTAATCTCATCCACAATCACTTCTTGTGAGCCATTTGGTATGTGCATTTTTCTACAGGCCAATACAAAACACCTGTTTTTTTTTACTGCAGTGAAGTAGAAATTCAGCCACATACCACCTTAGGGAATAAAGGTTGCCAAAGTTTGTTATATAGAAATATAAACATTTTTTTTTTTTTTTTTTTGGAGGGGGTGTGGGTGTCACTGTAAGATTAAAATTTCTTAATGCACTAGTTTGTACAAACTACAAACTACTTTGCCGCAAACCACAAAACGCACAAAACCATCATTTAAATAGGGCGTCTCCAACAGTTTTGCACCTGCCACCAGTTACGCAATCACTCTTGTTAAATCACCCGCAAACCATGGTTCAGCCCCTCGCGCAAAATTCCAGTTTTCGAGCGCAAATTACTGCACGCAAAATTGGATCTTGATAAATCTTGATAAATTTAATGTGTAATTTTAAAAACATTTTCCGAAGTTGAGAGGACTGCGGCAACCAGCGGAGCTCCGAGGGTAATGGCAGCCAGGTCTAACGTTAGCCCGTCTGCAGCAGCCCTCTCTCTGCATAGACATGTGTGAAGTACCACTGGCTCTGATGGTGATTTTTTTGTTTAATTTGGCAAAATATTCATTTGATTTGTGTTTATCTGACTATGTTAATTATTATTCCTCTCAAACTAAATGAAAAAAGTAAGAATTTATTATTTTCTAGAGACTATTAATAACAGGAGGTGAAATGCAGCTCCAGACGAGCCAAGCGCTGACATCATTAGTACGTTTCTGTTCCAATTGAGCCAGATTTATGCTGAGTCCAGACTTTCCTGTGTACTTCTGAAGAACAGACTATGAATATACATACTAGAATATACGTGATATGAATTGAGATTAATGAATTGAGAAATGGCCAGAATTTCGCGGAGAGCTCTCCCCGCAAAGCATTATAGGATTTGCTGTCACTGCGGCCCGCTGTCGCCATAGGCTGTTGCTACCCAAAAGCGGTGAATAATAACAAAGGTGGCGCAGGCACCGCGCAGTGGAGGCGGAGTTACGTGACCAACAGGGAGCAAAAAGCAGCGATAATCTGTATGAACGGTCAGTTAACTGAGTTCACTATAGAGTCCCCGCTCTATATAGTGATGGAGGGATTTAGGGGTTAGAGCGGACGGTCAGACACAGTAATGAGCAATGAGAAAAGCAGCTTTTAAACAGAGCGTGCACGAGGAGAAAAGGGCTCGTGCACTCTCTCGGGATCAGGTACAGGGTTGTGCATGTGCATTTTTTTTAAAGTGGAGAGGGTGGGTCTTTTAAAAAAAATGGCTAAAATCCTCAACAATACCTTCAAGACCACGATTATGTTTTTAAAATAAAGACGTATATATTCAGCTGACTATGTAGTTAATTATCATGCATTTGTATTTCTCATTTTTTTAAAATGTTGTTTATAAATAATTTGAACAATTTTATATTCTGATCTCTTCATTTGTATTTTATCGGTTGATTCTTTGCATTTTTTTTTCTTTTTTCATTTGCAGTTAAGGGTTTTACGCCTTTTGCTACTTTATCATTTCTTATCAATGTTTCTATTATCTGCATTTGGCCGGTTCCATTTCTTCCATGTCTCCTCCCTATTCCTCCATATATTCCAGATTAGATTACCTAGTTATTTATTAGGCTGCTTTTAATGTTTATCTATTTGTTTTAACCTCTTTGAAAAAAAAAAAAAACATGATGTATAAAATGTTTCTACATGAAAAGTTTAATTGGTTTAATAATGTATTTTTGGTTTCTGATAACAGCTTCCCCCATGGAAAAAGAACCCGGTTGATGTGAACATTAAGAAGTCTAAGAAGATAAATTATAAATGTGTAAACAGAGAATCCTCTGGAAACGATTCTGTAAAAAACTGTATAAATACTGAGAATAGAGTGAGTTCATCTACCACGCAGTAAAAGCAATCAAGGAGCGTAACAAGATTAGCTGTTTGACCTTTGAGACTCTAGGATGCTCTTTTCATGTGTGCTCAGCAGCTTCGCCTCAAGTAAACATGGAACGTCGGGCTGCGTGATCGTCCGCTCAATGATTCGTTTATCTTTTGTTACAGCAGTGCTTAATTTAGGTCATTGGGAGTGAATAACACTGAAACATTAAACAGAATGAAGCTACATACGTCTCAGAATCCCAAACGACATCTTCAGGTGCCTCCTGATCTGACATTAGAGTTACTGTAGGCAGAAGGATGAGCTGCAGGTGCTGACAGGTCAAAGTATCAAAGTTATAGACATTTGTCCTGTACGACGGAGTATTAGGGCGAGGTTAGAGTGCATTGCACTGATAACACCAAACCAAAACACTGCAAAATTGCCCCATATATATTCTATGCTCTGAACTTCCATTCAGTGCCTTTTTTTTTTGCACCATGTTTTATTTTTTCTTCCACACTGCTTAATTTGATCACTACTGCACTTTAACAAACGGAAATGTCATGAGAGCTGTACAAAATGGTATTTCGTTTTTTATTCTCTGTGTATAAAACATTTCAATAAAAGTTGTCAAAGTTTAAGTCATAATATCACTATCAGTTAACAGGCGTGTTTGAACTATATCTAATAGAAGTATTTGTCTTTTGCACTGTTGCGTAAATATCGTGAGTATCAACCTGATCATGAATGAGCTTTAAAAGCTCTGATTGGCCGATGATCCTTCTAGAGTCACATACCTGGTGCAGGGCCCCGATGATCTTGCGTGTTTCTTGGAACACCACCTCAGGGCTCCAGTGCTCGTTGATGCACTTCAATATCTCTGCAATTCGATTGTGCTCCCTGAGCCACAGAGTGTGCAAAGCAATCAGAGCAAGACCCTCATTGACCCGACTGTCTCCAGCCCGGAAACACTCCACTCTTTCTCCCTGTTGATCTGTGCGGCATGCTGACGGCGTCTTAGTGACGAAGGGAAGGTAAGCTCTTCCATGCTGGTCCTTGAATTGGTTGTTGATCGCGAGTTTTCCATTGAGCCCAGTGAGATTACGGAGGGCGCTCTGAAGTTGTGGAGTATGGCCGTAAACGAGAGAAGCATCCAGGTAGGATGTGATGGCATTCAGCTGCTGTCTCTGCAGTGTTTGAAGTTTGTCAGACCTGGACCTGATTGGGCAGTCTGGGCTGGACCGGTGAAAAGGCATGCAGAGCGAATCCTCAGTCTGCAAGTAACAATAAAATCAGAATACATTCCAGTGATTCAGTGGTAATGACATAGACCAGGCATCCCCAAACTCGGTCCTCAAGGCCCCCTGTCCTGCAGGTTTTAGAGGTTTCCTTGCTCCAGCACAGCTGATTTTAATTGAAAGCTGATTAACAGGCTTTTGGTCTACTGCAATTATTATAATCAGCTGTGTCAAAGCAGAGAAACCTCTAAAACCTGCAGGACAGGGGGCCTTGAGGACCGAGTTTAGGGATGCCTGACATAGTGTCCGAATGTTCGTCCTAATCACCATATAGTGGTTAAACCATTTTAGATGAGTGCCTGAACTCTAGTGTAGGAAAAAGTAGTGAACTCGAAATTTCCAAAAATTCACCTTGAAAAGAAGTAATTATCCATGGTCACTAGACGGGCACATATATCCCAGAAAGGGACGATTAGCCTCTCACAACCACCTCTCAATCGTGGGCAAGTGGCTCAGTGTGCAAACAAGGATTCTCCTTTTTCCTCTCAGATGAAAACCCAGCAGCATGGCGGGGGTGCAATGAATGAAATGGAGTTCTTTCTGTAATTTGACAGACCGTAGTAGCCACGTTTGCTCAGCCACGTCTTCTTCCAAATACGTCGTCGCCTTTTCTTTTTAGGGCTTTCGGCACAAAATTGCCCAAATCGCCAACGCAGAGCGTTTCACTCTAATGAGCTTCATATTCCTCTTCTACTCGTTTGGCTTTCGGATAGACGAGTCCGAGTAGCGCCATCCCATGGCGCAGCTGAGTCCCACCTGGTTTTTAGACGTACAGTGTGAGCAGGTAGATCGCATCAGAGCGTCGGGTCGTACAGTGTGAGAACAAACATCGTGAGCTGGGAACTCGCACTGTACGACGAATCCCTGCGGTTTCATCTTACAGTGTGAGCTGTAGCTGCCTCCAACGATTGAAATAATCGCCCAGTGTATGCCCGGCTTAAAGGTGTCATCTGATGACAGAGGATGTTTTCCTTCTGACTCTGCTTCTGTCTCTCTGATAAGGACTAAAAAACATCTGTGGAAACATCCGATTGCAACAAAATCGCAAAAAAAAAGTAGGAAAGCGCTTTTTGCTCTGGAGATTTTAAACATGCTTTAACACAGCTGCTCATTTCAGCGGTTTATTTCAACAGTATTTTAACTTTTATTTTTAGCAACATAAAAAAAGGATCCCAAATGGCAAATTACAAAATGAAAACTGCAAAAATAATCCAGAAATAAGTAAAAAAATTCTTAAATTAAGTATAATTACCCTTAATTTGAGCAGGTAAATAAGATGATCTGCCAATGGAATGAGTGTTTTTACTCTTAAAATAAGATAGTTAGATAATATGCACTTGAAATAAGACAATAACATTGTTTTTTCTTATTTTAAAAAGAAATAGTCTTGTTCCATTGGCAAAGTGTCTCACTTACCTCCTCAATTCAGGGAAAAATGCACTTATTTTAAGAAAAAAATAACTTATTGAGATTTCTATGTGAATCTTTATAAGTGAACTCTAACATAGAAAGTAATTAATGTCAAAAACAGAATAAAGAAAAGCCAGATTTCTTTCTTTTTTTGTTGCTGTTGTTTTGTGTGTTAAAATTACCTGAATGGGAAAACAAGGATGCAGGTTTTCACAGGTCTTCTTGCAGTCCACATCCGTCCAGAACGCAGCGCCGCTGATGCTCTGCGGCGTGAAGGTTACATCATGATCTATGTACTGACCCCAGTCCACCAGCAGCTGAGAGTAGTCATCATCTGTCCATTTACAGGAGCTCCTTATTATTTCCCTGCTGATGCTCCGAGGCTGTGGACAGAATCCACTTTTTATTAGAGGTTACGATTTATAGGTTTCATATGAAAACCTGCTGGTCTGGTTATTGTTTCATTCTTTAATGCTTTAATTAGATCGCTGACGTTCCACAGAGGAGTAGTGTTAGCTCTAATTTCAAATATCATTAAATTTCACAGCTGATGTCACTAACTGTAACTAACTAGTCCACCTCAGGCAATCAAAAAGGAACTTATTGCTCCTATATGTGCAGGAAAACTCCATAGAGCTGATGCACTTTTAATAAGTTGACTTCAGACGTAATGAGCCCAGAAATGAGGACTGAGTCTGTATGAGGATGAGAACAGCTCCACATACTGTCTGGAAGAGATGAATGTTTATCCAAACAGGCGGAAGCAGCCCGTATTAATACCAGAGAATAATATTCTGCCTGTTAAAGCACAGCATCAGTCTGTGTCATCCTCCATATTTTCCAGCCTCTACCTGAGGAGCTTATCTGTCCAGAAACAGGTTGGGAAGTTAAATGGAAACACTGCGCTGACTTGCAGGGTCAGCTCTGTCTATTTCCACTGTCCTGTCAGCAGGCTGGGCTCAGATTACCGGAGGAAGATGGAATCCATTATGGAGCCGTTCTGGATTCCAGCCTTTGGGTTCTTCCTCTCCGTCCTCATACTCCGCTAGAAGCCACCGGACCAAGGCCGTGTTGGCTGCTCCCCAGTCGGGATGTTCCCTGAATCAAAAGGAAACAAGAAGAGAGTCAAAAAGATTCCAGCAAAATCTGCTAATATTTATCCTAAAGGATGCAAACATTTACTGTTATTTTGAGTTCACTCATCCAGCAGTTTGGGGTGAATTTGGTTCCTTCATTATATTTACATAAAGAGCATTTAGTAAGTGGAATTTTGAAAAAAATAAATAAAATATTCAGAAATGACAACTAACAAAATTTTTTTAAATTAATGTTATTTTTAATTATGTATATATTTTATTTTTAGCTGATTTCATATTTTCCTTTTTTTCATATTTCTGCTAATTGGTTGCTTCAGTAGAAGCCATTCAAAATGTCCCCACTTTCCTTAAAGGGTCCTTGTCTGGTCCTTAACTGGTCCTTAACTGGTCCTTGATTGGTCCTTGATTGGTCCTTGTCTGGTCCTTGATTGGTCCTTGATTGGTCCTTGTCTGGTCCTTGATTGGTCCTTGTCTGGTCCTTGATTGGCCTTGTCTGGTCCTTGTCTGGTCCTTGATTGGTCCTTGATTGGTCCTTGTCTGGTCCTTAACTGGTCCTTAACTGGTCCTTGATTGGTCCTTGATTGGTCCTTGTCTGGTCCTTGATTGGCCTTGTCTGGTCCTTGTCTGGTCCTTGATTGGTCCTTGATTGGTCCTTGTCTGGTCCTTGATTGGCCTTGTCTGGTCCTTGTCTGGTCCTTGATTGGTCC